GTAGGACATTTTCTCCCTCTGAAATTTTTCCTTGGCATAGAAATAGAGATGTTAAATAAAAGTCATGTAGTACTAGAAAGAAGAAAAACTATGGTCCACATTTGTAATCTGGTGGTAAGGAAAATTATAAAAGGAGTAAAATTTATTTTTTACTAAGATCAGACAGTGGAAATCAAGAATGTCATTGTTCTGTGTGCATTGTATATATTCTGTAGCGACCTCAGTAAAAAGCTAGCTATCACAACTCCTTAAATCTTGTGTTAAGGAAAGCTGTTGACTTTAAATTATCATGGTCTACTGAAAATATTGTCTCCCTCTTCCTATCCACCTCCCTGTGCATATTTTCTACCATAAAGCTGGTGAACTTTCCATTAAAGTGCTGCTACTGTTTTTCTTAGGTGAGGTCCAAGCCTTTCTGCCAGGCTGGCCAGTTAAGGACATCTAGGTATCAGATCCATTGTCCAAAGGATAGCTTAGTTCTGTCTGCTCTGAGCATGTTCTGCAGTATCTTGTCTATAATTTGTGGTCTCAAGTTGCCACAAGGTGTTTAATAAACAGACTATGAAGGTTTTGGTGCTTTCAATTCATTTGCAATGTACTTTCATAGGTACTGATACAGTAATGACAAGTCTACAGCAAAGCTGGCATCTGAATTTTTGTCTCAACCAGACTCGTATCAAGCTGTGTTTGAATATGCCTGTCATGTCTTTGGAGGTTAGGGGGCAGTATGTCTTTTGCTGCAGTTTGGCTACATAGTGTGGTTGCAGCCTATCAGGTGTGTCCAGGATCGGACCTTCTGTGCCCTAGCAGCATCAAGCATGGACCCTTTGTACAGACTTGCCTTGCTGTGTTTGGCTGTGTTTGTGTAGTCAAGGAAGGGCATTTCCAGGAGAGTCCTGGATAAATTGTACTCCCCTGATCATTGTTTTCTAAACTTTCTAAGTCAACTTACAGTATCTTCAATCAACCACAATTTTGGTTGAAAACAGAATATTTGCTGACTTTTCAATTTCCAGCCTGCTTTAATTCTATAGCTGATGGTCAATCTCTGACTGCACAGCAGTACTATGTTCTTATGCCTGTATGTGTAGAGTTGAAGTAATGACTGTACAGTAAAAATCAGAAAAGATAATATTAACTAAGAGTGACTGTGAGATGAAAGAGGAGGTAATATGTAGTTCAGTTTTAGTATCAGTTTGTCTCTGTATGGCAACACTGTCTTTGTTCAATAAAGAAAATAATTAATACTGGTGGTAATGGACAGGATTTCTGGAAATGACTGTGACTCATCTGATTTACATAGAAAATAGGAATGCATCTCCTGGCTGGGCAACAGGTTGGCTAGCAAATCCAGGACGAAAAACACCTGTGTTCCAGACATGAACAGTTCTGGGGCTCTGCAGCAGAGCCATCTGTGCCACAGGTTGCTTGCCAGATTTTCCTGCAGAAGGAGTTTATCTATTAAAAAGATGATTCCACAGTGCAGTGTGGAAATGTGCCACTTTCAGACAATCCACGCAAGAAAGATAATGCTGCCCATTCACTGGTAGCATCTGTTCTTTGGCATTCACTTTGAATATGATGATTGCTAGTGACTTGCTGCTGAAATACTGGAAGCACCATCATGATTTAAATAGCATTTCAATAGCAGAATGTGTTTTTGTGTGCTCTCTGCCATTTCACAACGGCAGGTGAGTATTGCCACTATCTCAGTTTTTCTACTGGGTAGGCTGAGACAGAAGCAGAGTCAATATTTATTGCCTATCCTCCACTTTGTGTTGTATCATTGTGAATGGCAGAAGTAGTAAAGAAGTTTTAGGCAGCATGGTTTGGTGTCCTTCCTATTAGAATGGTGCTATTTTCCTAGAAGTGAATCACATTGACATCGTATTGTTGGTATGGTCACCAACAGTGACCAATAAATGCAGAACTGTAGAATTGTACTGGACCCACATCCCTTTTGTCTCTTCCTTTGGTGGAAATTAAGTATAGTTTGTCTTATTTATATTTGCAGATAGTCATGGCAAATGAAGCAATTTGGCCTATAGTCTAGTTCCTGGGACAGGACAGATTAAACAGAATATCAGGCAATCATTCCAGAAAATTTTTAAATTCTGGTCATGTGTCATTATGTTCTTGATTTGGAAGGACAAAGGCTATACCTGCATTTCCAATTCTGGTGTCCGAGAGGAATATATGATTATATGCTGTAGAATGTAAATTAAAAAAAGGCACTGCTAGCCAAAGTCAGGCTTTCCCCTTGACATTTTTTGATAGTACACCTAGGTTCATCTAAATATTTTCATTGTGCTTCAGTAACTGGAATTCTATCTTGTAAGTTTTTTATGTAGATCTTTATTTGTTTGGACATGGAATCATTCAGTGAGTAAGCACCAGAATGAGGGGGTTAATGTTATTTTTTGAATAAAGCTAAGCATACTTGAAGCAGTTCAAACAATCTTCTTGCTTCTTAAATTGGTGTTTAAAGTGCCAAAAAAAAAAAAAAAAAAAAAAAAAAATCTAACATCTGATTAGATTGAATTTAATTTTCCTGATTTGGATATTAAATAGAATCTGTAATTAGTATCTGTTTCTCCTATAGGACTTTATTTTTAGGATAAGCATGCTTTTTTTTTTTTTTTTTTTTTTTTTTTTTTTTTTTTTTTTTTTTTTTTTTTTTTTTTTTTTTTTTTTTTTTTTTTTTTTTTTTGTCTTTAAACTATTCTTCAAGTGTTTAGTAATACTAGTTTTTTGGCAGACTTTGAGAGTTGCAGCGTTGCAGTGCTAAATGCCTAAAATTGCTGCCATTTCTGTCTAGTTCAGTGTTTTAGAGCTCTAGACAAGACTCTGCTTGTTAGTTGTGACAGGCTGACTTCCAAGACTAAGCCTGTAGAAATACTTCTGTTGTCTGCTTAGCTATAAGCTACACTACACTACACTTGATCTTAGTCAAAAGGCGGAGAAGCAACGGAATAATAATTAAGCATGGAATAGGCTCCCCAGGGAGGTGGTTGAGTTACCATTCCTGAATGTGTTTAAAAACCGTTTGAATATGGTGCTCATGGCCATGATTTAGTGGAGAGTTGTTAGAGTTAGGGTAGCATGGTTAGGTTGTGGTTGGACTTGATGATCTTTAAGGTCTTTTCCAACCTGAGCAATTCTATGATTCTAAGCTTTTATGTGGTCAGTGCTTTACCCCTGAAGTGGCTTGGAAATCTGGTGCTTGAGGAGGGTGACTGTAACACTTTCTAGGTAGAATCTCTTTACTCTGGAAACAATTTGTTTTCCTTATGCTGTTTTGTGTTAATAAAAACAGGAGGAATGGGATGTGAATGTCTTTCTAATGCTCAGATCTTTTTTGATTGTGCCACTGAATTTCTCTGAAACCCAGAATCTCTCTGTCAATTTATTTTGCCCAAACCTGAAGTCAAATGCCAACATCAACATTTGTTAACACCTTTAAATATGTGTTTGGCCCCAATCCAAATTCACAGACATATAGCCAAGTAGCAAGTGTATTAACCTAGGGCTGGAAAAGAGGAGAGTTTGTACTTAGACATAGTAAAGTTCTTCTGGAGTTCAGCATAAAGACATCTCAGCTCAAGTATTTTCATCTTTCCTCAAAGGCTCTTCAGGTCTGGATGCTGAAGCATTCCAGCTACACTCCCATTGAACAACACAGTATTCACCTGCTGTAGTTACCAGCCAGGCCTTAGCTGTGTTTTTCTTTCCCTCTCCCATGCTAAATCCACGTATGACACCTCCTTTATCTTCTCAATGGATGTTATGTGGATTTCTTTGTTATTATGCCGATGCTTTCCTGGGGTCATGGGTTACATCATCCTCTACTGTAGCCTTGTTTGCACCCACAGGACTGAAAAACAGCAGCTGTGTGCTGGTAGTACTGATCTCTGGAAGGTTAAAGGAGGCTGCTGGTGTTTAGGTGGCTTTTTGGGAAGGTATTTGAAAGATTTCTTCACAGTATTTTTTCTCTAATTGAATGATTTTAATTATTTTTTTTAGTCTTAAAATTAATTTCAGCCTTTCTAAATGCCATTCATTGCCTGCCAGTGTACCCCTATGAGAATATAGTAACTGAAGTCCTGATAAAGTAGAATCACAGCACCATGCTCTGCTGCTCTCTGCAGCTTGTCTCAGTATTGCCCTGAGCTGTTATCACAATGTGCCAGCGTGATGTCACTTGTATCTCCTGCAATGTAGACCACCCTGAGGGTCAACTGCAAGCCCTTTCCTGTTTGACGTTATGGCTGTTCTTGTAATAACTCTCCTAGGGCTTACAGCCTGCCGTGCTCAGACATTCCTCTGATTTTCCAGCCTTTTGCAGTTCCCTATTACCATGTGAAAACAGAATTTTCTGAGTTTCCAGTAGCATAAATTATTTTGAAGTTCCCCATTCCATATCTACTCATTCTGTACTGGCTGCATTGCAAAGCTGCAACATTTTCCTGGCTTTTTAGAACAGCTTAGAACAACATTAAGACTTTTCAAGAGCTTCACTGGGATTAAGTTACATGGTGTTGCTGTGGGTAACACTTTTGAACCCAGCGGCAAAAAGAAAAAAGTCTGCTTCCTCCTCTCCTCTGCCTTCAGGCTCTCTTACTACGTAGAAGCATTATAGATTGTGATTTTCTTTACTTCACTGCTGTTTTTGAATTTTCTCTTGAAAGTTCTTTAAGAACGATATAGAACTACTATGATGACTGACTAACTAAATGAAGTAACTGCTAGAAAAGCTTATTAGTTTGATTTCTAGTGATTATTTTGGACGGGATCTGTTATGTGGCCACTGCTTCTTGTTTCAACACTTTAAGCACAAGCATAGCTCATAAACAAGCTCCAGATAATCTGAAGTTAAAGCCCAGAGGGGGTCTACCTGACACTGAACAAAACATTTTTGTGAGACAAATTGAACAGCTTTTTGTGTCTTTCTTTTTCCCTACTTACCAATTAACATCTTCCTTGGCTTTTGATTTTCCTAGATATCCGTGGAATACAAGAGTTTTTGGACAAAGTATCTCAGCAGGGAATGGATGTGGCATTGCAGAAAGTAGAAAACAACATCAATAAAATGATCACAGGGCTCTTTGCCACCATGCGAATTGAAGAACTGAACCGCTACCGGGACACTCTGAGACGGGCTATTCTTGTGATGAACCCCTTGACAGCCAAATCATTCTTAACAGAGGTATGTGCTTAGCAGAGGTAATATCTTGCTCAATCTACGATGTCTGCAATTGTTTTTGACAAAAGATTCCGTTTATTTGTAATCATTTCAAGTAAGTATTTTAGTGGTCTCTTCAAAGATTATGCCAATTATCTTCATCTCTGGAAATGTGCATGCAGAACGGTAAAACTACATTTTGTGTCAAGGGAATACATAGAAAAATTAGCCCTCCTTTATAAAACTCATGGGTATTGTTTTTCTATTTCCTTGTTTCTCATATCCATTCCTTAAAAAAAATATCAATTATATGATATAATGTTTGATAATAATCATGCAACAGTGGAATTTCTGAAGAACTGGATCTGAGTGAGGAGTGTAAGTTGATAAGCTAAGTTACACTTATTTAAACAAAATTTACAAGCAGAATGCAAAGTTTTCAACGCTCTATAAGATTTAGAGGCAGACGACTTGTAGAGAGCATTTATCTATGGCTTGCATACTTAATCTTTTACACAACATTGTATTTCTAATGTTTGTTTATTTTTAAAATGTATTAAGTCCTCTGTTCAATATGAATTTGTGATTAAAATACCTTTATTTTTTTTTCTCCGTTCCACAGAAATATACTTTTCCTCTGCAACAATTTCCTGTTGCACCTTTTTGTAAAATTGGTGTTGTATTTCTTGGTGTGTTTTGTTTTTGTTTTGCTGTTGTTCTTTTGTTTTGTTCTTATACTTTCATATTTCATAGATCTTCAGAAATTGATGTTCAAAACCTAGCTGGTTGTATGCAGTGTCAAATGAGTGACTTTTAGGAATATTATTTAGAAAAGGGATTTAGAAAAGGGAATAATTTTTTGACTAAGCATTCTCTTGTCCTCGTCACCCCATTAATCTTGCTAATTCTGAGTAATTCTGAATATTCTGCACTGTCCAAATATTTGCATTGCCTTATAACATGTAAACAATTTGTGAGCTAGTTGTAGATTGTTCTGCACTATTTTCTTCACTCAAGGCAGAAAAGTGTCTTAGGTCACGGTCGTCTTTTACGTGTGAGATTCAGAGAATGTCATACCATATTTCTGCCAATGGGGGTACTGACCTGCACTCCAACAATCAGTGCCTGTGCAAGGAGAAATTTCTCGGGATAGCTTTCCCAGTCATAATCTGTTACTTTGTAGTTGAACCTGCAGCCATACATTATGGGTAAACAAGTTAATTATAAAGTTAATTAATTATAAAATGCCAATGGGTTAAGTAATTGCTACACAATCCATGTGTGAACATGCATGCTCGTTCCAAAAAGTGTGCCTTGTACCCAGTCAGTCTGACCTTGTAATTTAGCTTAACCTAGTGGAATTAGCAAATGAAACATATGGTTTTAATAAGAAATAAATACATACGTAGACAAGTCTTAATTTTTTAATTTATTCTTATGGCTTTTCTGCCCAGAAGGCGTGTTTAAGCTGCCTAGCTGCATTTGGCTGTCAGCTTTTATTCTCAGATCTCACATACTCTCTGTTTCTTGGTCCCTTCTTGGATGACCAGTTTGGCTGAACTCCCTCATTGTTCAGCTGTGAAGAGGGTTCATTCACTTTGCAACAGCTGTAGTAAGTGTGAGCTTGATTACTATGCAAGTAACAACTTTTCCAGGGTAAATAGACAGTAGCTTGTGTAAATAAGCAGTCTGCAAACTGGAGATTCCTTGTGGCAGAGTTTATCTTCTCTTTGACTCATTGTAACATTTATTTTTAAATAAGAGCATGCAGGGTTTGAGCCTTCTATTTTGTTTTGTTTGTTTGAAGCAGTGTTGCTTCTTGTGTTGAGTCTTAGCTGAGTACTTCTTTTTCTCCACCTTGTGCATCTCTATATCTTGTAGAAAAGATTATAACTCTAATAGACAAGAAAGTGGAGATTAAAATGTGAATACAGTACTCTGACTATGGAGATTAAAAATAAATAAATAAATAAATATGCAAGAACTTAACACTCCCCTCCCTTCTTGTCTTTTAACAGCTGCATAATTATTTGAGGCATAAAGAGACAGGAATACTTGGGTAGTGGAGCAGGTATCTCTCTTTCCTCTCTGCTAAGGGGTTAATGTAAAGTTAGAAGAAGAGACCAGCCATAATCTCTAATGTCTTTCATTGCTTTGATTCCTCCTGGTGGTGGGAAGAAATTCTGCTGAAGCAGCAAGATTTGATGAGGCTGATGACTGCAGAGATGTGGAGCTAGCAGAGGTAGGGACCACTGCCCAGATCAATTTGCAGAAGAATCTGGGAAAATCTTTTACCAGAGATATAGTGATGACTTGTTCAGTTTTCAGTAGAGTGATACACTTTTGTACCCTCAAATAATCATCCAGAACCCATATGTGAAGGAAATTACTCTCATCCAAACTCCTCTGATTACTGAAAAACACCTCACATGCAATCATTTCACACAAAAATTGCTATGTTACAAAAGTGCTGGAAAATGATGAGTATACAATATGAATACAATATGCCACTTGCTTGCTACTGGGTTTCTTGGTGTTTGTTCTTTTTGTTTGTTTGTTTGTTTTGTGTGTGTGTGTGTGGTTGTTTGTTGTTGTTGTTGTTCTTTATATTCTTCTGATCTGAGATGAACTTTTGATGAAATTCCAGGACATGAAAAGCCATATGACAAAAAATTCCAGGGTCAAACAGTAAAAGCAGAGAAAGATTCACCTGATTCTTTAGCAAAAGAGCAGGAGCTTTTTGGGCCAAGAATGTGTCTATCTTCAGGTCAACTTTGAAAGGATGGCATTTCAAAATGTTTAGGAAAGGAAAGAGAGCAACCAGTCCTGTGTTGAGCCCACTTTGCAGATCAAGGACTTACAAAGCCATGTGTGAGAGGGAGGAGGAACAGATCAGCAGACAGGTTGCAGTGTAGGTTCTGGGGGGAAAACAAAGCCATTTTAGGAAGCAAAGCTTACCAAAAAGATTTTTTAAATAGCTAGATGTCCTCAAGAGGATTGGAATGCTATCAGTACATCTCAGCTTACAACTTTTTTTCTATTTGGAAAAGGAAATATTCTATGAGGAAACTGCCTTGTTAACTTCATGTAGAAAAATGAAGGTGTCCTTCTGTGCAAAGACTCTAGGAGATAACAGATTACAAGGGAGGGATGATGCTGATGATCTGTTCTTAGATACAGTAGAGGAAAATTGTGTTGTTTAGCAGTAGACTTTACACAATGAAAATTCAGCAAGCAATGAGTGAAAGGAGCCCTAGCATTAGCAAAAAAATTGGATGGAGTATTATCAGGCAAGATCAAGAGGGGCCTTATTCTAAGAAGTGAGGACTTGCTACAGTCAGTTCCTGTCCTCAGTGGAGGATTACTATGCTAGCAGCAACCAAGGCAGATGTGAGTGCATACCTTGCTGCTCCTTGCTATAGCTCTCTTGGTTTTGCAGAATGGTTTGAGTTGGAAGGGATCTTAAAGACCATTCAGTGCCTACCCCCTGCTATGGGCATGGTTACTAAACACCAGATCAGACTGTCCAGGGTCCCATCTGATCTGATCTTGAATGCTTCCAGGGATGGAGCTTCCATAACTTCTCTGATTAACTTGTTCCAGTGCCTCATCACTCTTGTAGCAAATAAGTTCCTAATATCTAATCAAAATCTACATTCTTTTAGTTAAAACTGTTACCCCTTGTCCTATCATTGCATTCCCTGATAAAAAGTCCCAGTCCTGTGTGTTGACCTGTGTCAATACAGACAAGCTTATTATACCAATCTGCATAAGTTGCCTTTCATTTTCAAAGAAAATTCAAATCATTTAGCTTTCAGGCATTAATACAATTTATTGCACAAGATTTTTACTAATTTTTATATTTTCTTTACTCCAAGTTGGTGCAGAGTGATATTAAGATAACATTACCTTGAAGAGAAGCAAAGATATTACTTTCATAAATAAAAGATCTTGTTACAAATTAAATCTTAGTAAGTCAGGGAAAATAAGAAAAGCATGTAAACGAGATTCTTGCCATGTGGAATGCAAATGAAAGAGAGAGAAGTGAGTATTTATAGAGAACATAATTTCAAAATGCTGTATTATTGAACCTCTACTGTGATCTTTTTTTCTCATTATTGCTGTGAATAGAAGATATAGTGTCATTTGTTCTGTGAAATTTCATTATTATTCCTTGTGATAAGTGTTGTTAATATCATGTCTTCTTTTTGAAATAATAAGATTTTAAACTTGAGTGTTTCAAAAAATATATATTTTTTTTTTAAAAAAAAAAAAAAGCTTTTTTCAAGTAGTGATATGGTTGTACCAGATTTCATCTTTAGATCTGATCATGCAGTAAAATCATGAATCTCTTAGCTCAAAGATGGGGATTTGCTCTAGTGTTACATAGCTCCCTAAAGCAGGCTTATTTCTTGACAAAACTTGTTTGAATTAGAAGAGTCTATTCAACATTTTGTCCACAAGGATTTTCATCCTTTGTATGCCTAAGGTCCTTGGAAGCTCAGTCTTGTTTTTTGCTTAGTTTAGTTGTTTTTTTTTTTAGTTTTGTGTGTTTCTCGCTGAGCTTTATGCATGCTTCCTGGAAGCAGTCAAGGCCAGGCTGGATGGGTCTTTGAGGAACCTGATCTATGGGAAGTATCCTTGCCTATAGCAGGAGGATTGGAACTAGATGATGTTAAAGGTCCCTTCCAACCCAAACCATTCTATGATTTAATAATATCCTAGGGAATGTTACATCAACATTTAAGTGTGCTTTGTTCTTGCAGTTAATAAATAAAATTATCCTATCTTTAGACAGAAGTGTGATGAGATGTTAAGAGATGAAGTGAATTCTGCTGAAAATATAAGCTAAGGATCAGAGTGGTGGATCTGGGTGATATTTCCTTTCAAATCCATGGTAAAATTTCTGTAGATCTCCATGAAAGCAGATGGCAGCATTGTTTGTTCAGTCATGAATAGATTACTTACACTGCAGAGTTTGGAAGACTCTGGATGGACATCAAATATTCTCAGCCACCTCTGAAGGAGGTCACAGATGTCATATATGTAAATGTGGATTATGAAGAGTTATGCCTCATAACTTCAGCGGTTAAAATCCAATATAGCAGTGTCAGC